GGTAAGAGGATGGGAAATTCACAGAAGTGTTTCTCTGAAACCAAAACAGTCAACAAACTCTCTGCTTTCTCCTATTTGAGCCATCTCCTTATTTTGCCTGTCAAAGTCTCCAAGCACTGATCATCTTGACATTCATATTCAAGAGCACAAAAATGTATTTACAGATTTTGACTTTATTGCCATTTAGCAGTAATTCCTTAATATAAACCTCTGATAACCTTTAATTTACCAGATCTAATCAAAGGCCACATCATAGTCTTCATTGAGATGAGAAATATACATCCCACCACTGGCAATAATTTGAGTTATAATGAAAGGTCATAGAATTTCTTAAAATAATATAAGTGGTAGATTCTCCTCTTCTATAGTTTGTTTAAATGTGTCTGAAAATAGATAAGATTTGACTCAAATTACCCCTCAGTGTCTCTTGCAGCCTCTGATTTTATACTTGACATGTCCGTTACACCACAGGGTTCCAGAAGACACTTGAAGGGATTCGAGCATGAGGAGAGATTGAAGTGGAACATGTTGGAAGAGGTAAGGAGAAGCTCTGAGGTGGCTTGGGGAGGGGGTTTGCTGATATATAGACTATTTCTCTGATGTAAGGCTTGGCACGTAGACTTACGCTCTGAAGGAGCAAGGCAGTGTCCCCCCACACTGGGCAGGCTCGGTAGTTTAGCATACCTTGCCCAAAGAGGGGGGCCTATCAGACTGGGAGAGAGACAAGGGTGTGGGCTGGGGAAAGGCGCATTTATAACTGGGCAGGACTATCAGTTACGACTGTATCTCAGCTGATGCTTTGCTCTTTAGCAAAGCTTCTCACTGCCCCACTGGCGAGCATCCCAGAAGGAGGGCTTCCTCTCCTCAGCGTCAGTTGGTGGAGACGCACTGCTGGCGAGCCATCTGAGCAACTAATGGCTCCCAGATTAGTGGACAAAGCAAAATGGTAGAAGCTGAAGACCACTGAGTATCAGTTTTACTAGCTTCCTCTGTGGTTTTCAAGATCTTGATCTCATTTTACAGATTGGTCTCCCCTGACCCAACACTTTAATAATTATCTGCTTCGTTTTCTTTTGCCAACCCACTATTTTTATTGCTTCAGCAAATGTTTTTGGAGCATCGACTCTGTGCCAGAGCTTTTGTCCACACCGGGGACACATTGCCACAGTGGGCCAGAAAAGCATGATCTCCACAGTTATTGAGTTTATGATATAAAGTAGGAGCAGAAAATTAAAGAACTCATTAAAATGTAGCTTCAGCCTTCAGATCATTGCTTGAGGACCCCTTCCCGGTTGGGTGCTCTTCCCCAGATTTTTATATGTCAGGCACACCTTCCCTGTCTCAGCTCCAGTGACACCTGCCAGGAGAGGATCCAAGGGTCCTGAGACCTTGGATCAACAGGTCTCAGGACCCTTCTCCTCCCAAAAGCCTCTCCCATCCCATCATCCTCATCCACAGACACCAAATCCAAACATCTCTGAAAACTAAGAATATTCCTCTGAATTTAAGTGCAAACAAATTAGTACTATAATCTTTATCCAGTGTGTTATGAATATTTATGTATTTTGCTGCAATCACATTAGAGTGTTTGATTAGTGGTGCCACCTTAGACCCTGCTGGCTCAACAAATAATGAGCATTGTATTACCTTTCTCACAAAACCCTGAATTCTGAAATACTTGCAGTCCCAATGGTTTGGATAAAGGATTGTGAACCTGTCCTACCTAAATGTCTCCTGTGTATTAATTTAGCTAACTTCTTTATTTTCTTATTTCTCCAGCTAGAATGATAGTGGAGACCTCGTCCTCTCTCATTCACTCCATCCAGAATCCAGAGCAGTAACCTGGTGCTTAATCAAAGTTGTTAAGTGAATATGCAAAGTACTTAGCGTTCTGGTGTACATTTGGTTGGGGAAGGGGAGGGTCAGAGAAAGCTTGCTGGAAACCGTGATGACCAAGGTAAGACTGAAATATTACCCAAGCAAAGTTAAGGGTGGGGAGCGCAACAGATGCAATCTGTGCAAAGGAGCACCGTATGTTTAAGGAAGGGAAAGTCAGTGTGGCTGATGCACAGGGGTTCAATGCAGAATGGCCAGGGTCAAGCCTGGAGAGCAACTAAAGGGTTTTTAAATCATGTGAAAGGATTGGGATTTTTGTCCTTCAGCCAAAGGGAGTGACTCGTTTAATCCTGCCAACAACCTGTGAAGTAGGTACTGTTAACCCATTTCACAGGTAAGAAGCTTGAGAGTCATGGAAGTTAAACTGACTCGCCTAGCCTGGCAATTTGATTCATGGCAGAGCTGTGACTGTGACCCCAGCTGTCTGGCTCTGGCTTCCAGGCCTCCTGTTAGAAGGCTGGTGAAAAATCTTCATGGGAAATGGAAGAGTTTTGATGTCACCATCATCACCGTGAAATAACACCCTCCAAGTGTCTTAGTTGGCTGGGAAACTAAACTGGTGATTCCAGCATCCCAGGTTTTGTCCTGAGTGTGTTAATTAGGTCTGACTAGTGTCACGGGCAGAGACTCTGCTTCTACCTCCATCAGAACGTTACCAGTGGTCACAAATTCATTAGTTGCAGGGGGTGGCTGGGTGAGACGGAGCAGATGGACAGGTCAAATATCACTGCATTAGAGAAAGCAGTCCCAGAAGCCCAGTCAACCGTGTGTCAGCAGCACCACCCATGCTCATGGACGACAGCACATTGCAAACAGCACACAGGTAAAAGGAAAGATACGGGACCCTTGTTGGCCGCTTGGAGGTGGTAGATAACAAGGAAGGAGATAAGAAATGAACATGGTGAGAAAAGCTTAAAAATCATATCCAGACCCCTGTATTCCTTCATCTTCTCCGTCAGACTCTACTGACCCCAATTTTCTCCCTTTCAAGCTTAAAGTATCCATCCTGAAAAACCACCTGTTGTTCAAAACCTACCTCATGTGGGCATGAAAATATGTTATTCTAAAATGCAAAATAGCTAGGGCATACATACCTACCACAGTCTATGATGGCTATTACCGCGAACAATGTAGATTATTTTCAAGTCAGTGTCTGTGAGCCACATATTTCATGGACAACTGCTCGAACAAAGCCTTAGACTTGGACTTTATTATAAGTGATTGGGTCAGTAGAATCACCCACCCTCAAAAAAAAAAGAAAGAAAGAAAACCCCCCAAACTGACAATGGCTCATTTCTATAATGTTTGCTGAAACACTGCGTATGGGTTTAAGTTTTTCCTTGTCTCTAGAAAGGAAGTACCAGCCGATCTGGTATCAGGACACGGGTTTTGGAATCAGAAGACCTAGGCTTGATTGTCAGTCAATCGCTGCCTGCCTACGAACTCGTGGGAGGTTAACTAATCTGTCTGACCCTCAGTTTTCCCACCTATCAATGAAAGAATAACATTTACCTTGTAGGGATATTGGGAGGGCCAAAGGAGATCATACACATGAAAGATGCATTGAAAGAATTGTGCAAATGTCTGCTATTACTGTTAATAATCAATACTGAGAGGAATAGGAAAACTCTTAAAGTCCTATAAGTATCACAGTAAGTTCAAATTTGGATGGTTTACATGTGGAAATTTTCTAGTGATCTCTCTGGAATGATTTATCCTCTCACATGAACCGTTTTATGCAGGTTGTGTCATGAGAAAGTGTCTTAGTAAAAGCAGCCTAGAGCAATAACATGTTTAACGTTCCGCATGTCAGGTAACATGTTTGAAATATTTAAGTGATGCATTTGAGAGAGTTTGACAGGCCGCTGGAGCCAGTAGCTGACCTGAATTCAGCACATAGACCTCATGTGTGTGGTTAGGGAGGGGCAGAGTCATGTTCTGTTATCCTGCGGCTTTATTTTACTCTGTTAAAAATATCAGTAACTCAGATATTTTAAAAACATAGATAGAGGAGCTAGCAAAAAAAGAAAAAAGAATGCTGGCAGCAGCTATGGGGACATAAATTTTAAATGATCATTAAGAGAGCTTGAACAACTCAGGTAATATAAGTCAGTAAGGGAGGCTCTTTGGCAGGTTTTGGATTCAGTAAAATCTATACTCATATTTTCCATATTTTTGCTTTGATATTTTCTTATTAAAGACCATAGGCAGGTTGCTTCATCTAAGCCTACTTATACATCTGGGTGGAGATGGTAGTAGTGCCCTCATAAGATGATGGCATGGATTAAACAAAGCAGTGTACAGTGTACGTAAGCCTATGTTCACTGCCTGAAGTGAGCCCTCAGTAAACGGTTAATATATAAATCTACATTTATAGATTATTTCAAAACTTAAAAAAAGCTCATCTTTCAACCTGTTTCTGCAGCATCCTTTCTGTGAAGCATTAACCTGCCAGCAGTAAAATGAATGTTATAATTTTGATTTCATGTCCAATGAAATGACATGAAAGAGTATAAAAGCATAGGTAAAAGTAAAAGACTTAGATCAGCAACCTACCACAGCCTGGCAAGGCACAGGCCAGTAGTAGCACCTACGTGCTGAGGTTTTGCAAGTGCTTGCACTCAAAAAGAAAAAAAAACAGCCTGACGTTGCATGCCATCCAATAGCACTTGTGGTGTAGTGCTTTTTGGAAAGAACTCCTAAGTGGGGAAAATAAATATTAAAGTAATGGAGTTTTACCAAACCTGTGAGAGCACAGAGGAAATCCTTTGTTTGTTGAAGAAATGGTGCTCTTACTTTTGCAGGAATGGGCCAGGGGCCAGAGGAAAGAAGAAAGAAATCCCAGGTAAGACGTACTGTGATAATAAGCAGAACTGGATGTGACCCCCACACAGGAGCCTGCTGTCCACCTGCAGCAAGAAGCAAAGCAACAACTGGAATCTTTGTGTCGCAATTGACCTATTTGATGCCCTGAGGGCCCAGCCAGAGACAACTGCAATGTTGACGGAGTGGGGAGATGTCTCAGTGGGGCCTATAAAGGGAAGAAATCTAAAAGGACAGGGGTGGGGAGGGGTAGAGGTGGGGGGTAAGTGACCTTACAAGGACAGTAAACCACTTATGTTCAGAGGTGGACCAACTATAGTTTTAGGCTCTGTTCCCTGGGGAGTCCTAGAGGAGAGACCGCAGGCTTAGCTGCTGTGGAGAGCGGTCCCTCAGAGCCCTCGCTTGACTCTGGACACGGCGCATGGTTTATGGGTGGGCAGGAGAGCACCCCATGGTCCAAAAGAGACACATGCTTCCTCTAGAGATGAATGGGTGTGAAACTGTGAAGGTAAATACGACTTGCCTTAGTCCTCCCTATTTCAAATAATCAGTTGAAAAACAATCTTATAAAGAGAGCTTTACTGTGAAATAACCCTGAAAAACAGTTGAAAGCCCCAGGGGATCAAGTATACATAGACAGTATTTTGAGAAGCCTGTTAGCAATGCTGTTATTAAGCACCCAGAAGGTGAACAGCTCTGCAGTAAGCCCAGTTAACTGCATAGGCAAAAAACAGCAATAGAAATGAAGAGGGCAGGTAAAAAAGGTATGGCATTTGGATCTTTAGGAACTCCTGGAAGCCTAAAAAACTATTGCTGAGGTGGGCAAGAAGGCAGAATCTTGGTTTTGAAATTATGGGGGCTGCACTGGGGCTAGTGTTAAGGGAGCTCCTGGCTGCATGCCACGTTCATTGGCTGGTGATTTGGTGGGAAGGACACACAAAGGTGCTGGTGGGCAGGTGCAGGAGGTGTGAAGAAGCATGCTGGTTGTCTTCCTTCCCTCCCACCATCCTCCACAATGTAGGCTGTATCCTGAACTTTAGGTAAGTTCTATGGTGGCTCCAAACAGGGAATGAAGAGCAGATAGGGGAAGGGAAAAATGAAGGGCATGTGAAGATAAGAGGGATAATGGAGGGCCCTTTGAAGTTTTTACAGATGCAGAGGGGTAGTATCACTCGAGGAACTGTCGTGTTAGCCTTCCTCTCTTTACCCCACTTCAGGCTTTGATACTGCTGCTCGTGTCACAACCCTGAGTCCTCTGGCATCTCTGGAGTGAGTGAGTAACAGCATGGATCATACCCAACCACTAAGCCACGCACAGGCTATGCCTGCACCTGCCGTTCCCTTACGTCAAGGACCATTTTTCTCTCTTTTCTCTCCTCCCCTCCTCTTCCTCTTCTTCCTCTCTCCTCTCTCTCTCTCTTTTTCTTTTGTGTTCATTCTCCATTTAAGTTCCCTTTAACCCAGGGTGGCAGTCATCTAGTTTCAGAACTGTTACAAAACCGAGGAGGAAAGGAGCGCCCCAGCTTCTGGCACGTGAGCAGCAGCTCAGGGGCACAGAACTCACCCCAGCTAACCCCCAGCCACGCGCTGTCCTTGCCGCTTACTCCTTAGTCTCCCTGAGAGTAAAGGCATCATCTAACACATGGCCGTTAAGAACACTAGGCCAAACACTCGATCCTGGCATATGCTGTCCTCAGGGACAACACAGCATTTCTTCTCTTACTGTCATGCCTGCTAAAGAAAGGAGTGCCGTGCCCTTGGATTTCAGGGCTCTGGGGAAATGAAGATGGTTCAGTAAATATTAGTTCATATGTGGTGATCCTCTCCTTTGTGTACACTTTGAACTAAAACAACAGCCTCTTAGCAGAGTGGTTGCAGTTAAAGTGTCCTGACACACATTAAAAAAGGGGTATTTTAAACAGCAGTCTGCCTCTGTGCTATACAAAGCCTCCCAAAAGTTCTGGAGGGTGAAGTTAATGTGCTCTTAAGGTGTCTGCTTCTTGCATCGGTACAGAACTAAGTGGATTATAATTAGTTATTCAGTGACATTGGAATTCTAAGGGTGATAAAAGAAAAGGAAATACTCTGGACTCAGAGTACTCTGTGTGACGACTGCCAGGGAGCTAATACATTAACGAGGAAATACTGGACGTAAATGGACTAAATTCATTATTTTTTCTGCTGCTAAAATTTTGTTTGGATAACTGAAATGATGAAGTAGAAAAAGGAGACATTCATGTCTCATATGGAAGGAAAGGCCTGGTTGTGTCTGATACTGGAGAATAAATTTTTCTAGGACTATTCATTCTAGGGAAAATATTACCTTTGTGTCTCTGCCAATGGGAGTGTTCTCATTTGCGATTCAGGATTATTTGTCCTGTTGTGGCGGTCTCATTCTCCTTTAAAAGTCTTCCCTCTTTCTTTATACTTGTTTTGCTTTCAAACTCCAGCCGATGTACATGGCTGAATAGTTTTCCAGAAAATGAAGCTAAAATCTCAGTTGGCCTCAGCTCAGGGACCATCAAAGTCTTCTTTATTCCAAGATTGCATACCACCCATTTGGAAATATCTCTGTGCATTTCTCACTGGGAATTAGGCAGTGAGTTAATAAGGTCCTTTCCTTGGAATAAAGCCATAACTCAATGACTTTTGTTGTGCATCAAGCTGAGGCATGAAAATGACATCCAGCAACACAGAAAGGACATTTTGGCCCAGAGCTAATCAGCGGGCCTGCCCCAGGGTCAAAGGGTCAGAAGCTGGACCACTAGGTTCTCTTTGGAATGGTTCCAGATTGCTCAGCCCTGTGACACTCAAGGAATCTCCAGACCATACAAGGGGCATGCAGGATCTAGGGATTCCAGAGATGTGCAGCTGCTTTGGGGGATTTGTTTTGACATTGGCCTTTCAAAATGACATGTATTCTAGGTGTTTTGAAATGCACAGGAGAAAGTAAGGGGGTGTCCAAAGGGCTGCAGTTATGCAGAGCATCCCATAGAACACTTGAGTTTTAGTTTTACACAATTCTGGATGTGCTTACCCTTCTCAAGTGGGTTCCTATGTCTTTAGGAAGTCCTCTCTCTAGGGTGGTTGCAAATAAGAATGTATTTCTGGAAACTTCTTTGGTCCAAAGTCACATCCTCCAGAGGTCCCCCAAGTTCGCAGAGACTCTGCTCACTCAGGTATAAGAAACTGAATATTTATTTGGTCTGCAACCATCTTTGTGTGACTTTTGGCCCACATTCAAGGGTCCTGTGTACTTTTCAGTCTCTCCCCCTGCTCTAGAATTTTACTTTGGAGGAAGTAGTGATTCAGAAAGCTGAATATGATTTATATTTGAAAAGAAAAGGGTATATCACCAAAGTACCTTTTCCTGAAAATAATGAACAGCACGCTATTTATTCTCCCAAGAGGTAGCCTAGCTTAGTGGATTGTTAGTTTCACCCTATTATTAGGAATTAGAGATCTCAATTTTGCAGTCAAATCAAATCCTGTGTTTATGGGTCTGAAGTGCTTATATTTCCCTAGATAATAACCTGAACGTTCACTCCATTAAGGCCCATGACAGATCTAGAGTCTGAAGTGAGAAACTCTTGTTTCTCTGATTCACATAGAATGTCAAGGCTATTACTGTTACTATTACATTTCTCTAACATGTAGTTTTGAACTGTATTAAATAGCTTTATATGTTCCCAAAGGATATTTATATAGTGTAAGATACTGGAAAAGCTGCATAGTGTTTAGTTATGGGAAAGAAAATAATTCATGATCAGAGTCATGTACCTCTTCTTTTGCTGGTGAGTTTGAAAATCCAGAGTCAACAGGAAGGCAAGTCATATTCTGAATTAGGGACAAATGTGATGGAACCACTTATGATAACCCAAGTAGTATTTTTTTTTTTTTAGAAAAGCATTCATGAAGGACAAGCACATGAGAAAGAAGAAAAGCATGTATCAAGGTGATGTTTTCATTTTTATCAGAATCAGATATGGATTACACCTAGCAACTTAGAGTCGATTGGCTGGCAAGTGATAACATAGCAATTGTGGCATTTATTAATTACTTGTTGTTCTAAACTGATCGCCTTTCCTGAAGGCTTTCAAGAGTCCCTTGAGTTTCCTTGGACTCCAGCTGT